CTCGGTCAGTTTTTGAGCTAGAACCAAATTTTGAACATATTCGCGCTTCTCTTGTTTAGAGCTTCAAAATGAGTATAATCATGACCTACTTTCCATGAAATTTCAATTTTCCATGGACCCCATGCGCCTTTAAAGTCGCAAAAATCTGTGCCTGCGTCTCCACCCTATTTATTGTGTTTTGTTTCGAATAAATCGATAATATAAAGTCTTCATTTTTTTTCTGTTTGAAANCAGATGTACCCTCGATGTTCCCTTTTTTGATTTACCCTTGGATCGTGGGCCGTTAAAAATTGAAATGCAATTTTGGAATATTTGGCCAAACTTTTGGAAAACTTTTACCTAAAGGCGCAGAGACCCTTAAAAACATAAAAACAATAGGAACTAGACTAAAATTGCAAATCTGAAAATTGACTTGAAAAGCGGATGAGGGCCCGAAATTTTCGAAGTGGGCAGGGCCTAGTCGTGTTTACACTCATTTTGAAGCGCTGACGCGCACAATTCAAATATGTTTATGTTACAAAATTTGAGCAAAAACTAAAAAAGTTATGGTAGTTTAGAGGGTTAGAGTGCAGAGAAGCCAGACATACTGCGTCTCTACTCTCGAAGTGAGCGAAGCCTAGTCGTGTTTATACTCATTTTAAAGCTAGAAACTTGCTAAATTCAAAAAATTTAGTTTTAAACAAACGGCTTCATTGATAAAGATTTATGACAGAAAAAAGTTCCAAAAAATTATTTTCTTAGCTTCAAATTCAGCCTAACCGCATCCTTGGGTCTCATAATAACACCATTACAATCAGGAATCAAATCCATTTCCCCCATTGGAATTCCCAATTCAAATTTATCGATTAATTTCGCAATCGTCATTTTGAATTCCATTTCAGCGAAACGCATTCCGACGCAAAATCTGGGACCCACACCGAATGGAATCCATTTTAAATTTGTCGATTTTTCCGTTGCTTCTGAATTTTCAGCCAAAAATCGATCCGGATCAAAAATGTCCGGGTGGTCCCAATTGGATTCGGAGCGATGTATGGTGTTGCCTTGTACGGTGACGGAACATCCTTTTGGATAGAATTGTCCTCTAATAGTGATGTCGGAGAGACACGTACGGCTGATGAAACTGCAAAGTTTGAATTTAGCAGGAAATTTGCTTTGAAATGAGCTCAAACACGACTAGTCTAGCTTAATTTTAAACTTTGACCCACCAACAGCGACGCGACCGCGTCGCACTGATCAAAATTCGAATTTGATTAAACCTAGTCGTGTTTGGGCTCATTTTGAAGCTCTTTTCAAGCTGAATATGATATTTCAAAAAAAGTGATTTGGACTCGAATATTTGAATTTGGCGCGTTGAGAGCTTTAAAATGAGCCATAAGGACCAGATTTAGAGAAAATTGAAAATTTCGAAAAAATCAAAATTTTCCAATTCGAGCCATTTTTTACTCATTTTGAAGATCTTAACAAGACAAATCGAAAGATGTAACTTTTAGGAAATTTGCACCAAAACTTAAGAAGTTACGAGGGTTTAACGAGAAGAAGGCTAGAGTGCAGGGAAGCGAGGCACACTGCGTCTCTGACCAGACTGGGACTCAAAGTGGGCGGAGCCTTATTGTGTTTATACTCATTTTGAAGCTCTAAACGTGTCAAATTCAAAAATATTTGTTTTATCTGATTTGGTTGAAATTGGACCAAGTTATGGTTGATTTTCCATTTTAACATCAATTTTAGGCTTTTTTTCAAATTCAAGCGATTCTAGTCGTGTTTGGGTTTGTTTCAAAGCATTTTGAATTTTAAGCACAATTTTTTAATTTTCAGCTCTTGTCAGAGATCAAAAACTCACTGAATAACGGGTGGATAGTATCGAAGTGCTTCCTTATAAACAGCATCCAAATATTTCATCGAATGAATTGAATCGTAATCCAATGTCCCCTCATTTTTCACCAATTTGATTTCTTGCCACAATTTTTTTTGAATTTCTGGGTATTTGGCTAATAAATATGAGCAATATGTCATTGCGGTACTCGTCGTCTCGTATCCGGCCAATAAAAATGCGAAACAATTCTCGATTACTTCCTTTTTTGTCATTTTCTCTTTGGTTTTATCGTCTTCCCGGTCTAGGAGCAATTTTAGAAGGTCCACACTATCCGATCCTTCTCCGGAACGTCTTCTTTCGTATCTGGAAGTTTTCAGAATTTTTGAAAAACAATTTTTTTTTTGGAATTTTGGCACCAAAAGTTTTCAAATCCCTTATACATCTTCTAGTCCAATTTTGAATTTTTGGGGAAAATTTTTTTTGGCGCTAAAAATTACTTTTGGATACTTTTGGAATTTCATTTAATTTCTACTGTAACTACTGTAGAAATGTCTGAAAATTCCGAATTTTTAGGAACTACAGTAATTTTTAGAGTTTACGGGGATTCTCCAAATTTCGGGTTTTTTAAAAATTTTTCAGAAATTCAGAAATTCAGAAAAAATTTTTGGCGCCAAAAATGTTCAAATCTCTAAGGGACCCTTACACATCTTCCAATCCTTGTACCAATGGAATTTCAGCCTCTGCTAGACCGCTGAACTTGTACAGAAACTTCCAAATCCACATGAGTTCGGGAATCATGACTGGAATTTTTTTTTCATATTCCACAAATTTCGGGGATCTCTTACCACTACAAGTGACCAGTGGATTATGTCTTAAATCAATATTCTTGAAGAAATTTCTCGCTTCCACATAGAATACATCATTTCGGTCTCGTTGACAGTTGGTGTCTATTGCAAATGCACATTTTCCAATTACATCCAAGGTTAGACCTTGGAAATCGCTGGAAATTGAATTTTGGGATTAGGAAAGATGAATTTAGCAGGAAATTTGCTTTAAAATGAACCCAAACATGACTAGTTTCGGTTAATTTTGAAATTTTTTGAAATTTTAAGGGTCCAACTATCGAAAATTAAAAAATTTTGAAACTACAGTAACTCTATCAGTTTTTATCGGAATTTGAAAATAAAAAAGTAATCAAAATCAGCGAGTTATTAGCTTCAAAATGAGTCTAAACACGACTAGGGTCCTCCCATTTTGATTTTTCGACTTTAAAGGCGCATAGCTGGTCTGAAATTTGAAATTCTAGAAAGTAGATCATGTTTGTACTCATTGTGAAGCACTTAACGCTTTAAACTCAAATTTTTAAATTTTATCACACTTGGATGAAAATTAACAAAGTTATGACCAATTTTCGGGTAGATCCCTAAATGACCGATTCTTCTAATTTTATCATAAATTGAACTAAGACAAAAATTAGGTTTCGGAATTGAAAAATTCAAATTTCCAGCGTTCACAGCTTCAAAATGAATGAAAACACGACTAAGCTCCGCCCACTTTTGGGTCAGAGACACAGTGTGTCTCGTTTCTCTGCACTCTAGCCTTTCAAACTACCGTAACTTTTTTAGCTTCCACTCAAAATTTTGTGATATTATTAGTTCTGAACTCAGCGCGTTAAGAGCTTCAAAACGAACCCAAACACGACTAAGCTCCGCCCACTTTTGGGTCAGAGACACAGTGTGTCTCGTTTCTCAGCACACTTGCCTTCTTTTTTCTTTAAACTACCGTAACTTCTCTAGTGTTTGCTCGAATATCGAGAAAATACAAACATTCAATTTTTCTGGTTAAGAGCTTCAAAATAAATAGGAACATGACTAGGCCCCGCCCACTTTGAAAAGTTCGTACCCCATGCGCCTTTAAACTTAATTTTCAAAGTGGGCGGAGTCTAGGCGTGTTTGGGCTCATTTTGAAGCTAATGGTTTGCTGATTCTAAAACTGTTAATATTTTTAGATTCTGTCAAAAACTGGTTGAGTTACGGTAGTTTTACCAATTTTCCCAAAAATTCCCAAAAAATAATTTTTCCATTACTTGGTTAGTTTTCACCGGATTCTCTAGATTTTTACGCAAAAATTTTTGGATTTTTCAAATTTTCAGAAAAATATGAAATTCTAAGATTGCTCAGACTCACTCATAAATATCCCATTGCTCATTTCCCATTGATTTCTCCTCTAAAATCTCTAAAAGAGTGTCAATTTTCGAACTAATCGTCTCATGCATCGCTTTCATTTTTCCAGTTGAGAAAATCGGTGCAATTGTGGATCTTGTATGTTTCCAGCCGTTTTTATACGTATTTTGGAGCAAACTTGCATTGAGTTCTGCAATAAGGGGCGGGGCTTGAAGAAGAAAGGGGCGGAGCTTACTAGTTTCTCTGAAAATTTCAATCACTCCACGATCCGAAAAATTCGAGAAATTCTTGATGAAAACTTCTTTGATATCTTCTTCATTGCACAAGAAAATGTCCAGTTTTTGGCCAAAGTAAATTCTGAATTGTTTTTGTTCTAAAATGTTCTAGAAAACTAGTGAAAATTGTTGAAAACGAGCTTCAAATTTGAACTTGGCGCGTTTAAAGCTCTAAAATGAGCCTAAGCACGACTAGGCTACGCCCACTTTGATTTTTCAGCCGCTTCGCGGTCGTGCGTCGCGTGTCCGAGCGGAAATCTCAAGGTGGGCGGAGCCTAGTCGTGTTTAGGCTAACTTTGAAGCTCCCAATGCGCTGAATTTAATTTTAAAGTTAGATTTGAGACATTTTCAGTGGTTTTCCAGAAAATTCCAGATTAAAAAAAATTTCAGCCAACATTTTTTTCTGAATTTTTTTCTGAATTTTTTTCTGAAAACCCTGACTTGTTTATACTCATTGTGAAGCTCTTGACGAGCCGAATTCAAATTTTATACAATTTCACATTTTGCGGCAAACTCACGCATATCGATCCCCATATTTCCTTTGCAGCTCCAAATGCCACTCCTGCGCATTATTCCAGCCGATGTCTTTGGTACGGCTGAAAATTTCAGATTTTTTTGAAAAAAAAACTTTTTTCCACCAAATCTTACTCAATAATATCCTTCAAATTACCCAACAACCAATGGGGTGGGGGTCCGCCCAGGCCAATTTTGGCGCGAAGTTTGAATTTTTGAATTCGGACGAAAATTGAGTGAAAAATGAAGGTGAGAATGGCGATGAGCAATGTGGAGAGAATCAGAAGAGTCATTTTTCTGCTGAAAAAATCTGAAATTTAAGTTTTTGGAATTACGAAAATTTCAGCAAAAAAAAATCGAAAAAAATAGTTTTTTGAAATTTTTTTTCAAATTTCCAAAATTTCAAAAATTGTCCAAATTGACCGAATACTTGATTTTTAGAAATCACAAAAAAAATTTTCTCTCATCATTGGTGACTATTTCTCTTATCAAGTTGATAAAGAGATATTATTGTAGCCTAGGCTACAATTAAGGGTAATTAAGGGTAATTAGGGGGAAGAATGTGGAAAATAAAAAGTACAGTAATCCAAAAAATAATGAAAGTACAGTGTCCAAGAAAAAATAGTCATTATTTGATGAATTACAGTAAACACTCAGAACGCCACAAGGGCCCTCCACTTTGACCCTTTAGATCTCATTTTCTGTGAAAGATATCAAAAAGTGTGTTACTGATAAAATTTTTATCATAATATCAGCAACATTTTATCAGTTTACCACGTTTTGATATCTCTCACAGAAAATGAGATACATGGGCTCAAATTTGACGAATTTTCAGAAATTGCATCAAAATGTTATTATTTAGTCTATGAAATTTCGAAATTGTGATTTTTTTGATAAAATAATTGAAAAATGACGAATACATTTTTTGGAAAATTATGAAATTCTTTGAGTCAATAACCAAAAAATTCAAAAAATTCGAAAAATTCAGAAATTCAGAAATCCAGAAATTCAGAAATTCAGAAATTCAGAAATTCAGAAATTCAGAAATTCAGAAATTTAGAAATTTAGAAATTTAGAAATTTAGAAATTCAGAAATTCAAAAATTCATAAATTCAGAAATTCAAAAATTCATAAATTCAGAAATTCAGAAATTCAGAAATTCAGAAATTCAGAAATTCAGAAATTCAGAAATTCAGAAATTCATAAATTCAGAAATTCAGAAATTCAGAAACTCAGAACTGTTTTGCAAGAAAAAATTCCAAAAGGTTCAATCCGATCAAAATCCAAATCACAAAATTTTTAATTAAAGCCATTATTTTCAAAAAGAAATGTTTTTCAAAAATCTCATATCGGCATTTATTCAAAAGAAAAATGATATCATTGGTGATTACACATGTTTGCAAAAATTTCAAAAAAAAAACTTTTTTTAAAAATCACAATTTTCATCAAAAAGATAGAAATTCCTCTGATCTTTTTCCCAATTTTTACCTTTTTCTCTCATTTCTCTGCGTCTCTCTCTCTCTCTCTCACTCTCTCTCTCTCTCTCTATCTCCTAACATAAACTACAAAACCCTCCATATTGTTTGTGTGGTGTGTATGTTTGACTAAACTTTACCCAATGATTCTTGTTCATTTCTCTTTTTTTATTTCATTAGAGATAAGAGAATTAGAGAAAAAAGACAAAACGATGGCCCGAGCGGTCGGTCTGTGTCATACTTAGCCAAGAGACCGCCGACCCCAAAATTTTTGTGGTTTATGTCAAAAAATTTTGCTTCAGAGGAACTATAAAAAGACACACAAACTCAAAAAATGGCGATTTTATTGGCTCTAAAAAAGCAAAAAATATGGAGTTTGCTCAAAAAAAAATTTTTTTTTTTCAAAACAAATATGATTTTTCCGCTTTTCCAGTTTTTCTGGAATTATTTCAAATCAACAACTTGCATTTAGCAAGTAGAGCGCTTCAAAATGAGCCTAAACACGACTAGTTTTTCTCAATTTTGAGTTTTATCCTACACGTTGCGGTCGCGTCGCGGTTGGTAGGTCAAATTTCAAAATTGAGCTAGACTAATCGTGTTTGGGCTCATTTCGAAGCTCTTAGCATGCTGAATAAAATTTACTAATTGATAGCTTTAAAATAAGCCCAAACACGACTAGGATTGCTCAATTTTTAATTTTTGCGAAAATTTTCGAGGCCCATGCGCCTTTAAAGTTAAAAGTTTGAATTTCAAAGAAAACCTGGCTTGTTTATACTCATTTTGAAGCGCGAAACCTGACAATCTCGGATTTTTACTTGTTTTCAGAATTCGGATGCCGAAGCACGAAAAAAATTTACGTTTTTTTAATTTGCAATTTTTTTTGAAAAACTTATAGTTCCCTAACTTTCTGAGTTTTCATTTCGGCTTCTTCATTTTTACATTTTTAAATTCAGCAAGTTGAGAGCTTCAAAATAAGCCTAAACACGACTAGTTGTGCTAAATTTTGAATTTTTCAAAAATTTGTTGGTCCATGTAAAAAACGATTTTTTTGAGTTGCAAGAAATTCGCAAAATAACTTGAAATTGTTAAAAACAAATTAAAAATTTAAACTTCCCGCGTTTAGAGCTTCAAAATGAGTATAAACAAGCCTATGTTCCTTCAATTTTGGGTCCTACGACGAAATCTACAGTAACCCCATTGCATGGGCGTGTTTATACTCATTTTGAAGCTCTAAACGTCGGAATTTTTAATTTTCAATTAAAAAAGCAAATTTGACTTGTTTAGAGCATCAAAATGAGTATAAACATGACTAGGCTCCGCCCACATTGAAACATTCGGTCCTCCATGCGCCGTTAAAGTGGAATTTTCAAAGTGGGCGGAGTCTAGTCGTGTTTATACTCATTTTGAAGCTCTTAATGAGCTGGTAACAATTATAATAATTATTTTTTGGAAAATTTGATTTTCAGCAAGTTTTCAGCCATCCTTTTGGCTAGATTCTAGTCAAATAGTGATAAGAAAATGGCAACGCCATTTTCTTATCTTGTTGATCATTTGGAAATATGACTAGAACTATAAAATAGACAACATGTGTACGGTTTTGCTAGTTTTCAATTGTCCCGATGTCCCATTTTGGCTCTTTTTGGCTTGTTTTTCCCCCATTTTCAGTCTTTTTTTAAATTATTTTTTTTTTCAAATTTTCAGCAAAATGGCATTGCTCATCTTATCAACAATTTTTGTCATATTGCTCAGCTTCATAGTTTATATCCTAATTGCCAGAAGGGAACGATTTAAATTACGCGAAAAAATCGGCTTATCCGGACCCGAACCCCATTGGTTTTTGGGAAATTTAAAGGAGATTGTAGAGTGAGTGGCTTGGCGGTAGTTTGAATTTTTTTCGAAATCTGAAAATTTGAATTTTATGAAAAATTTAAATTTCAGAAGAAAGGAAAAACTGGGATACGACGATTCGAATGAGTGGTTCAATGTGCTCCATAAGCAGTATGGAGAGACCTTTGGGTAGGTTTTTTGGGCGGGAAATCTGAACATTTTGAAATTTGGATTGCAAATTTAAGTTCGGATGTTAAGAGCTTCAAAACGAGTATAAACAAGCCTAGGCTCCGCACATTTAGGGTTCCAAAACTACTGTAACCCAACTTTAAAGGATCATAGCCTTGTTTATGCTCATTTTGAAGCTCTAATCGTCAGCTATTTTGATTTTGAGCTTAACATTTAAGTTTGTGATGTTCAGAGCTTCAAAATGAGTATATAGAAGCATAGGCTTCGCCCACTTTGAGCCCCTCAAAACTACAGTAACCCAACTTTAAAGGATCATAGCCTTGTTTATACTTATTTTAAAGCTCTAAACGTCAGTCAATTTAATTTTTAGCTGAAAAGGTACATTTCTTATGTTAAGAGCTTCAAAATAACCCTAAACACGACAAGGCTCTGCCCACTTTGAATCCCACCACGATACCTACAGTAACCCTATTGACTAGGCTTGTTTATGCTCATTTGAAGTTCTAAACGTCAATAATTTTGATTTTGAATTTCAAATTCAAGTTTCTGACGTTCAGAGCTTCAAAATGAGTATAAACAAGCCTAGGCTCCGCCCATTTTGGGTCCTAAAGTTACAGTAATTCATCTTTAAAGGATCATATCATTATTTATACTCATTTTGAAGCTCTTATCGTCAGCTATTTTGATTTTGAGTTTAAAAATCCAATTTCTGATATCAAGAGCTTCAAAATGAGTGTAAACACCTTTAGGCTACGCCCACATTGAGTCCCAAAAACTACAGTAATCTAATATTAAAGGATCATAGTCTTGTATATACTCATTTTGAAGCTCTATACGTCAGCCATTTCACTTTTGAATTAAAAACTTAAATTTCTCATGTCAAGAGCTTCAAAATGAGCTTAAACACGACAAGGCTCCGCCCATTTTAAAAATTTCAGACCCCTATGCGCCTTTAAAGTGTAATTTCAAAATGGGCGGAGCCTAGTCGTGTTTATACTCATTTTGAAGCTCTCAACGAGCCAAATTCAAATTTAAAATTTGTTTTCCACTATTTTGAGTACATTTCCAGAAAATTCCAAAACAAAAAAAATTTCAGCCAAAAAATGTGTTTTTTCAGAATTTATTTTGGAGCACAAATGAACATTGTGTTGTCAAATGAAGAGGATATTAAGGAAGTTTTTATCAAAAATTTCTCGAATTTTTCCGATCGAATTGTGCCTCCAATTTTCACGGAGAACAGTAAGAAATTTTAGGCTCCGCCCCCTTTTTAAGCTCCGCCTTTTTCTGACCCAATTTGTTGCAGATTTGAACAGTTCATTGCTCCAAAATACGTATGCAACCGGCTGGAAACATACGAGATCCACAATTGCACCGATTTTCTCAACTGGAAAAATGAAAGCGATGCATGAGACGATTAGTTCGAAAATTGACACTCTTTTAGAGATTTTAGAGGAGAAATCAATGGGAAATGAGCAATGGGATATTTATGAGTGAGCCAAATTTTGAATTTTTGAAAAAATTTAGATTATTTGCAAATTTTTGGTGTAAAAATCAAAAAAATCCGATAGAAACTAACTAAGTTATGGGGAAAAATAGGAATTTTTGAAAATTTCGAGATATTGAAACTACAGTAGCTCGGTCAGTTTTTGTCGGATTACAAAAACTCAAAGTTATTTGAAATCAGCAAGATACTGGCTTCAAAATGAGCCTAAACATGACCAGATTTGGTAGAAATCGATTTTTTCGAAATTTTCAGACAAGCTTCAGAAATTCTGAAAATTTGAAAAATTTCAAACCTAGGCATGTCTATACTCATTTTGAAGCTCGCAAGAAGACAAATTGAAGTGTGTTACTTCCACCAAGTTTGAGTAAAAACTAAGGAAGTTACGGTAGTTCAAAGAATTTAGCGGGTTAGAGTTCAGAGAAGCGAGACACACTGCGTCTCTATCCCCAACGTGGAACCTAGTCGTGTTTACACTCATTTCGAAGTTCTGACCGCGTCTCGGAAAATGTATTTTTCATCAAAATTGGATTGGAATAAACAAAGTTATGGTCGTTTTTAAGAAGAAATTGAATTTCATAGTTGTGAAACATAAACTTTGTTGTGAATTCTATATTTAGCTCATGAAGCTCTTCAAAAAGAACCCAAACACGACTAAAATTGGGGGAAAATAAAGATTAAATGTCGTTAAGCTGAAAAAGGGTCATAACATTGTCAAACTTGATCTTGATTGAATCAAACTTACATTTTCAAATTTGGCACGTTTAGAGCTTTAAAATGAGTATAATAATGACTAGATTCTGAGAACTTTGAAGTTTTCGAACCATATGCGCCTTTAATGTCGAAAAATCAAAATGGACGGAGCCTAGTCATGTTTAGGCTCATTTTGAAGCTCATAACTTGCTGATTCTAAAAATATTTTTGTTTTCAAATTCCGATAAAAACTGATAGAGTTACTGTAGTTCCAAAATGTTTAATTTTCGATGGTTGGACCCTTAAAAATTCAAAAATTACAAAATTAACCGAAACTAGTCATGTTTGGGCTCATCTTGGAGCTCTCAACGCAACAAATCCAAATTTGTTAGCCTAAAAATCTGATTTCCAGAGATTTCCAAGGTCTAACCCTGGATGTAATTGGAAAATGTGCATTTGCAATAGACACCAACTGTCAACGAGACCGAAATGATGTATTCTACGTTAATGCGAGGAAATTTATTCAGAATATTGATATAAGACACAGTAAAGTTATCAGTTCCTCGTGTGAGTGATTGGGCGGGAAATTTGAATTTTTGAAAAAAATTTCAGTCATTCTTCCGGAACTTTCTTGGCTTTGGAGATGGATGTACAAGTATACAGCACTGGCAGCCGCTGAAATTCCATTGGTTCAAGGATTGGAAGATGTGTAAGGGTCCCTTAGAGATTTGAACATTTTTGGCGCCAAAAATTTTTTCTGAATTTCTGAATTTCTGAATTTCTGAATTTCTGAAAAATTTTTAAAAAACCCGAAATTTGGAGAATCCCCGTAAACTCTAAAAATTACTGTAGTTCCTAAAAATTCGGAATTTTCAGACATTTTTCTTTTGAATAAATGCCGATATGAGATTTTTGAAAAACATTTTTTTTTGAAAATAATGGCTTTAATTAAAAATTTTGTGATTTGGATTTTGATCGGATTGAACCTTTTGGAATTTTTTCTTGCAAAACAGTTCTGAGTTTCTGAATTTCTGAATTTCTGAATTTCTGAATTTCTGAATTTCTGAATTTCTGAATTTCTGAATTTCTGAATTTCTGAATTCCTGAATTTCTGAATTTCTGAATTTGTGAATTTCTGAATTTCTGAATTTCTGAATTTCTGAATTTCTGAATTTGTGAATTTCTGAATTTCTGAATTTCTGAATTTCTGAATTTCTGAATTTCTGAATTTCTGAATTTGTGAATTTCTGAATTTCTGAATTTCTGAATTTCTGAATTTCTGAAACATTTTTAAAAAACCCGAAATTTGGAGAATCCCCGTAAACTCTAAAAATTACTGTAGTTCCTAAAAATTCGGAATTTTCAGACATTTCTACAGTAGTTACAGTAGAAATTAAATGAAATTCCAAAAGTATCCAAAAGTAATTTTTAGCGCCAAAAAAAATTTTTCTCAAAAATTCAAAATTGGACTAGAAGATGTATAAGGGATTTGAAAACTTTTGGCGCCAAAATTCCAAAAAAAAAATTGTTTTTCAAAAATTCTGAAAACTTCCAGATACGAAAGAAGACGTTCCGGAGAAGGATCGGATAGTGTGGACCTTCTAAAATTGCTCCTAGACCGGGAAGACGATAAAACCAAAGAGAAAATGACAAAAAAGGAAGTAATCGAGAATTGTTTCGCATTTTTATTGGCCGGATACGAGACGACGAGTACCGCAATGACATATTGCTCATATTTATTAGCCAAATACCCAGAAATTCAAAAAAAATTGTGGCAAGAAATCAAATTGGTGAAAAATGAGGGGACATTGGATTACGATTCAATTCATTCGATGAAATATTTGGATGCTGTTTATAAGGAAACACTTCGATACTATCCACCCGTTATTCAGTGAGTTTTTGATCTCTGACAAGAGCTGAAAATTAAAAATTTGTGCTTAAAATTCAAAATGCTTTAAAGGTGGGGGGACAGGAGATTTTTCGGGGGATTTTTGTAGCTAGAGTATGCATTCTACCGTGACGGTGTACAACGCTTAATGTCACTCTGCGTCACCTGTCGTCCTCGCCTTTATGTATGCAATCCGACGGCCGCTTTCTCTTTGCCCGTGTAGCTCAGTCGGTAGCGGCACCGCACCCTCAATCCTCACCCTCACAAGTTCAACTCCTCGAGGGGCGTATGTAAACGGAATTTTGAGAAAATAATTTTTTTCATGTCCCCCCACCTTTAAAACAAGCTCAAACACGACTAGAATCGCTTGAATTTGAAAAATTCCAAAAATTGATGCTAATTTGAAAATTTGGTCACAACTTTGTGAATTTCGATCTAACTTGGATAAAACATCCTTTTTGAATTTAGCGCGTTTAGAGCTTCAAAATAAGCCTAAACACGACTATTTTTGGTCAACTTTGAATTTTGACCTCCGACCGCTACGCGCCCGCAACGCAGAGCTCGAAAATGAAAACGTATCGAATCTAGTCGTGTTTAGGCTTATTTTAAAGCCAATAACTAGCTGATCTCAAATATTTTTAGCGTTTCGAATTTTGATAAAAACTGATTGAGTTACTGTAGTTGCAAAATTTTTTAATTTTGACCAAATCTGGCTATTTTTTGGATCTTGAAGGTTTCATTGTAGCAAATTTGAATGTTTGAATTCCAATTCTATTTTTATGTTGATTTATTGTATTTAGCTCAAAGTGAGCTTCAAAATGAGCCCAAACACGTCTAGTATTAGAGGAACTTCGAATTATTAGAGGAAAACGTATTAGACGAAAACTCGAATTGACCACAACTTTCTGCATTTCGATCTAAATTTGATGAATCTAACATTTTCGAAATTAAAGTAAAAGGAGCTTCAAAATAAGTATAAACACGACTAGGCTCCGCCCACTTTTAACAGAGAATTTGGGCAGAGACGCAGTGTGCCTCGCTTCTCTGCACTCTAGCATTTCAAACTACCGTAACTTTTTTAGTTTTCACTCAAATTCTGTGAAAATAAAAGCAATCAAATTGTTTTTTTAAGAGCTTCAAAATGAGTATAAACATGACTAGAATTGGGGAAATTTTGAGTTTTTTAGAATATTTCAATTTTGACCACATTCGGCCATTTTTGTGCTCATTTGGAAGCTTTCGCAGCGCATAATTTACATTTTTTAAGCGTAATTTTGAATTTTGATGCAATTTATTGTATTCAGCTCACAAAAGGCTTCAAAATGAGTTCCAACTTGTCTAGGCTGCAAAAAATTTTAATTTTCAATGGTCCATGCGCGTTTAAAATCGAAACATTTCAAATTTTACCGATTCTAATCGTGTTTGGGCTCATTTTAAAGCTCTAATTTAGCTGAGTTTCAAAAAATTACTAGACCAGTATTCTTCAATAAATGAATCCTATCTGATTATACAAATTAGGTCATGGTTCTGAACCTAGAGTAACTTTGTAAGCGCTATAACCCACTGAATTTGAATTTTTTGAATTTGAAACATAAATTCTCGTAAATTTCTGGTTCTGAGCTTTAGAATGAGCCTAAATACAACTAGTTTTGCTCGAATTTGAATTTTGACAAGTGCGGCGCGGTTGATAGGTCAAAATTCAAAATTAAGCTAGACTAGACATGTTTGGGCTCATTTTAAAGCTAATTTCCTGCTAAATCCAAAATTTCCAGTTTCATCAACCGTTCTTGCCTCTCCGACATCACAATTCGTGGTCAATTCTATCCAAAAGGGTCCGTTGTCACATGCCTCCCACACACACTTCACCGCCTGGAATCCAATTGGGACCACCCGGACATTTTTGATCCGGATCGATTTTTGGCTGAAAATACAGAAGCAACGGAAAAATCGACAAATTTAAAATGGATTCCATTCGGTGTGGGACCCAGATTTTGCGTCGGAATGCGTTTCGCTGAAATGGAATTCAAAATGACGATTGCGAAATTAATCGATAAATTTGAATTGAGAATTCCAATGGGAGAGCCGGATTTGATTCCTGATTGTAATGGTGTTATTATGAGACCCAAGGATGCGGTTAGGCTGAATTTGAAGCTAAGAAAATAATTAATTTTTTTGTTCTACATATTTTTAAAAATAAATCTTTACCAAAAAGACCTGTTTTAACAAAACTAATATTTTTAGATTTAGCTTGTTTAGAGCTTCAAAATGAGTCCCAACACGACTAGGATCCGCCCACTTTTGAGTCAGAGACGCAGAGTGTCTCGTTTCTCTGCACTCTAGCTTTTCAAACTACCGTAACTTTTTTAGTTTCCACTCAAAATTTTGTGATATTATTAGTTCTGAACTCAGCGCGTTAAGAGCTTCAAAACGAACCCAAACACGACTAGGCTCCGCCCACTTTGAAAAATTCGGACCCCCAAGTTATGCGCCTTTAAACTCCAAATTTCAGAACTTTTCAAAATGGGCGGAGCCCATTTAGTCGTGTCTCGGCTCATTTTGAAGCTGACCACTTGCTGATATCGAATATTTTTAGAATTTTTGAATTTGGACTCTAATTGGTTGAGTTACGGTAGTTTTCAATTTTCAAAAACCTCTAATTTTCCCCATAACTTGGTTAGTTTTCGCTGGTTTTTTTTTTTGATTTTTACACCAAAAATTTGCGAAATTCTTTAGAAATTCTAGAAATTTCAAAAACTTTGAAAACTAGAAAAAAAAGAAGAGTTCTGGGCATTTCAATTATCCTAATAGTCTCTGTCTTCTGTCTTCTGCCAAGACCAGACCACCCATTAAATTATATTTCTTTCTCTGTCTGCGCCTCTCTAATTCTCACACTCTCTCGTCGTATAGACAGATGTAAGTGGATAGATGTCTCTGTTTTGGTATCTAACAAGGTCATCTATCATCAATTTTTCATTTTTCGGATTTTTAGACTGATTTGGGTCATTTTAGGTCATTTGTAGCCGATTTTAAGCCATTTTCAGCCATAGCCAATTTTAAGCCAATTTTTAGCCAATTTTTGGTCTATTTTAAGCCTATTTTAAGCCATTTTTAAGCCTATTTTAATCCATTTTTTGCCTATTTTAAGCCTATTTTTGGTCTATTTTCAGGTCTTTTCTAGCCTATTTTAAGCCATTTTAAAGCCTATTTTAAGCCTATTTTCAGCCTATTTTAAACTTGTTTTGGGCTATTTTTTGCCTATTTTAAGCCTATTTTTGGTCTATTTTCAGGTCTTTTCTAGCCAATTTTTAGCCAATTTTTGGTCTATTTTAAGCCTATTTTCAGCCTATTTTAAACTTATTTTGGGCTATTTTTTGCCTATTTTTAGCCTATTTTAGCCCATTTTTAAGCCTATTTTAACCCATTTTTTGCCTATTTTAAGCCATTTTCAGCCTGTTTTAAGTCTTTTCAGCCTCTTTTAAGCCTATTGTAAGCCATTTTTATGCTATTTTAAGCCTATTTTAAGCTTATTTTAAGACATTTTAAAGCCTATTTTAAGCCTATTTTTAGCCATTTTTAAGCCTATTTTAAAGCCTATTTTAAGCCTATTTTTAGCCATTTTTAAGCCTATTTTAAGCCATTTTTTGCCTATTTTAAGCCTATTTTTGGTCTATTTTCAGGTCTTTTCTAGCGTATTTTAAGCCTATTTTCAGCCTATTTTAAACTTATTTTGGGCTATTTTTAAGCTATTTTTAGCCTATTTTTAGCTTAACTTTGGTCTATTTTAAGCCATTTTTTGCCTATTTTAAGCCTATTTTTGGTCTATTTTCAGGTCTTTTCTAGCCTATTTTAAGCCACTTTAAAGCCTATTTTAAGCCTATTTTCAGCCTATTTTAAACTTATTTTGGGCTATTTTTAAGCTATTTTAGCCTATTTCAAGCGATTTTTTTTCCAGATGGCAATTATCATAATTACCTCAATTTTAATTGCAATTATCACATTTTCAATTTTCGTCATTTTTCAACGACGTCAAATTTTCAAAATTCGCTCGAAAATTGGGCTAAATGGTCCCGAAATTCACTGGTTTTGGGGTAATATGATGTTGGTAATTAGGTGAGTTAATTGGGGGTAATTAGTCTAATTAATTAGCGGATTAATTAATTTTTCAGAAGAATAGCTGAAAAAGGGTACAATGATACGGCCATGTGGCACTTGGAGCTGCATAAGAAGTTTGGCGAGAGGTTGGGGTAGGTTTAAAGGCACATAACTTTTGAAATTGTTGAAAAAAATATTTGAAAATGTTATAGTTAAATTTGGTAGGTTATTAGTTTTAAAATGAGTACAAACAAGCCGAGGCTCCGCCCACTTTGAGTCCCACCACGAAAACTACAGTAACCCATGCTACCTGGACTTGTTTATACTCATTTTGAAGCTTTAAAGGCAGAAGTTTTGATTTGAAAATAATAAAATCAGAATTTGGGGCGTTTAGAGCTTCAAAACGAGCCCAAACACGCCTAGGCTCCGACCATTTTGAAATTTTCGGTCCCCATGCGCCTTTAAAGCGAAACTTCAAAGTGGGCGGAGCCTAGTCGTGTTTATACTCATTTTGAAGCTCTCAACGAGGTGAATTCCAGTTTGAAAACAATTTCAAACTATCTCAACTGATTTTCCAGAAAATTCCAAATGTCAAAAAAAATTTTTCAGCCAAAAAAAGTTTTTTTTTCAGAATCTACTTTGGCACTGAATTCAAGATAGTTCTATCAAATTTGGAGGATATTAAAGAGGTTTTCATCAAAAATTTCTCAAATTTTTCGGATAGAAAAAATCCGCTGATTTTCGAGATGAATAGTAAGTGGTTTTTTAGGCTCCGCCCCCTTTTTTAAGCTCCGCCCCTTTTCGACCTAATTTTTTTTGCAGATTTGAACAGTTCATTGCTCCAAAATACGTATAAAAACGGCTGGAAACATACAAGATCCACAATTGCACCGATTTTCTCAACTGGAAAAATGAAAGCGATGCATGAGACGTTTAGTTCGAAAATTGACACTCTTTTAGAGATTTTAGAGGAGAAATCAATGGGAAATGAGCAATGGGATATTTATGAGTGAGCCAAATTTTGAATTTTTGAAAAAATTTAGATTATTTGCAAATTTTTGGTGTAAAAATCAAGTAAAACGGTCGAAAATGGACCAAGTTATGGTGAAAATTAGATTTTCCATAAAAATTTGGAGAATTTTCAAACTACCGTAACCCGATCAGTTTTGGTCGGATCTTAACAATTTTAACAGATTTGTGTTTAGCAAGTCTAGAGCTTCAAAATGAGTATAAACACGCCCTGATTTGGTCAAGTTTGAAATTTTCGAAATTTTCAATTTAAAGGCGCATAGGGGTCCGAAATTTTGAACTTCATTCAAACCTAGGCATGTTTGTACTCATTTCGAAGCTCTTAACAAGGCAAATGCGATAAAATTATTTTCAAGTACATCGTTCCAAATTTAAAGGCGCGTGGACCCATTTTAGATATGTCCACCAAATATAGTCATGATTATACTCATTTTGAAGCTAATTTTCTCCTGAATTAATTTTTTTTCAGCACAATTACCAAAAATCTAGAAAAATTGCTACGTGCTCATGTAAAAATAAATAAACTCCGAAAGAAACTAACCAAGTTATGAGGAAAATTAGTTTTCGGCCATTTTTCGAAAAATTGTAAAAATACAGTAACCCAGTCAGTTTTTGTCAGAACTTATAAATTTCTATATTTTTGAATTTAGCTAGTCTAGAGCTTCAAAATGAGTATAAATATGCCTATATTTGGACAAATCTGAAAGTTTCCAAAATTTCAGTTTAAAGGCGCATGGTATGATGAAATTTTGAATTTCAACCAAACCTAGGCTTGTTTATACTCATTTTGAAGCTCTTGATTAGCTGAGTCCAATAAAATTATTTTCAAGTACATTAGCCCGAATTTAAAGACGCAGGGATCCTTTTGAAAATTTTCGTTTTTTTATTGGTCGTTTAAAAATTTCGAAAAAATCAACATTAATCAAACCTAGTCATGTTTATACTTATTTTGAAGCGTTTAACTAGACAAATGCAATGACATTAGTTGTAAGTGCGGTAGTCCAAATTTAAAGGCGCATGGACCAAATTTTTACAATTTTCAAAAACCCAAGCCTTGTTTATACTCATTTTGAAGCTAATTCCCTGCTGATTTTAAATTTCTAGTTTTTTATCAATTTCAGAGATATCCAACGCCTTTCTCTCGATATCATTGGAAAATGCGCATTTGCAATTGATAGTGATTGTCAAAGAGATAAGAATGACCTTTTTTGCGTTCAAGCTCGCAAATTCGTCTCTGCCGTGGATATTCGGAAAAGTTGGATTTTAACTGCTTCGTGTGAGTTTAAAAATGATGAAGTGTTAAAATTTGAATTTGGCGCGTTGAGAGCTTCAAAATGAGTATAAACACGCCTATGGTACTTTAAAAATGGGTTACTGTAGGTTTCGTGGTGGGACTCAAAGTGGGCGGAGCCTAGGCTTATTTATACTCATTTTGAAACTCTCGAAGTCAGAAATTTGAATTTCAAACGTTAAATCAAAATTTGTACCGTTTAGAGCTTCGAAATTAGCCTAAACATGACTAGATTTGAAATTTTCGATTTTTCGTAGAGTTCATCTAAAAATTGAATTTTTTCAAATATTGTTCCGATCGATTATAGTCATGTTTATACACATTTTGAAGCTCTAAACATGAAAAATTCAAATTTCAAGCTCCAATATAGAATAGCTACAGTTTAGAGCTTTAAAATGAGTATAAACATGCCTATCTTCCTTTCATTTTGTGTCCCACGTACAGTAACCCAACATTAAAGGAACATAGGCTTGTTTAAACTCATTTTGAAGCTCTGAACGCGCCATATTCAAATTTTCTGTAAAAATCCAAAAATACAGTTCCCTTCTCCAGTTATGCTGCCAGAACTCGCCTATCTTTGGAAGGCTCTCTACAGATTCACGGATATGGCCAAAGCGGAGATTCCTCTTATCAATGGGTTATCAGATATGTGAGTTTTGGGCGTTTTGGACAAACCGACACACAGAAGGACATTTTCAGATATGAAAGGCGGATATTAGGAGAAGGTTCTGGAAGTGTGGACCTTTTAAAATTACTAATAGATCGAAAAATAGCAAAAAGGGAAGTAATTGAGAATTGTTTCGCTTTTTTGATAGCTGGATACGAGACGACGAGTACCGCAATGACATATTGCTCATATTTATTAGCCAAATACCCAGAAATTCAAAAAAAATTGTGGCAAGAAATCAAATTGGTGAAAAATGAGGGGACATTGGATTACGATTCAATTCATTCGATGAAATATTTGGATGCTGTTTATAAGGAAACACTTCGATACTATCCACCCGTTATTCAGTGAGTATTTGATCTCTGAAAAGAGCTGATAATTAAAAATTTGAGTTTAAAATTCAAAATGCTTTAAAACAAGCTCAAACACGACTAGAATCGCTTGAATTTGAAAAATTCCAAAAATTGATGCTAATTTGAAAATTTGGTCACAACTTTGTGAATTTCGATCCAAATTGGATAAATCATCCGTTTTTGAATTTAGCGCGTTTAGAGCTTCAAAATAAGCCTAAACACGACTATTTTTGGTCAACTTTGAATTTTGACCTCCGACCGCTACGCGACCGCAACGCAGAGCTCGAAAATGAAAACGTATCGAATCTAGTCGTGTTTAGGCTTATTTTAAAGCCAATAACTAGCTGATCTCAAATATTTTTAGCGTTTCGAATTTTGATAAAAACTGATTGAGTTACTGTAGTTGCAAAATTTTTTAATTTTGACCAAATCTGGATATTTTTTGGATCATTGTAGCAAATTTGAATGTTTGAATTCCAATTCTATTTTTATGTTGATTTATTGTATTTAGCTCAAAATGAGCTTCAAAATGAGCCGAAACACGGCTAATATTAGGGAATTCCTTATTTTCAAGGGTCCATGCGCCTTTAAACTTCAAATTTCAACATTAAAGGATTCTAGCCGTGTTGGAACTCATTTTAAAGCTCATAATTTGCTGATTCTAAAAATGGTTGAATTTTCGAATTTGGGCAAAAACTGATTGAGTTACTGTAATTCCAAAATTTTCAATTTTGAGTAACTATAAATCTGGTCGTGTTTAGACTTGTTCTAAAGCTCTTATCACTCTAAAAACAAGTTTTTAGGTTGTAAATTTTATCTTCCCACTCAAATTACTGTACGCAGCTCAAAAGGAGCTTCAAAATGAGCCGAAACACGGCTAGTATTAGGGAATTCCTAATTTTCAAGGGTCCATGCGCCTTTAAACTCCAAATTTCAACATTAAAGGATTCTAGCCGTTTTCGGGCTCATTTTAAAGCTTATTTTGAGCTTGTGATAAAAAACAGGTTTCTGAAAAGTCAAATTTGAGTTTATCAATAAAAAACAGGTTAATTGTTGAAAACGGCAGGATGGACCTGACTGGAATTAGACAAGATTGAAAAATATCACAAAAACTACAGTATAATTGAAATTTTCGAGTTGAGCGTTTTTTGAGCTTCAAAATGAGCTCAAACACGACCAAGTTAGCTTAAATTTGAAATTTGAGTTTAAAAACGCATGGACCTTAACATTTTTTCTAAAAAATCAAATTTCCCTAAATCAGCTCGTGTTTGGGCTCATTTTGAAGCCCTTTTTGTGTTGAATACAGTAGTTTAACTTTAAAAAAATAGAATTGAAATTCAAACATTCAAATTTGCTACATTGAAACCTTCAAGATTCAAAAAATAGGCAGATTTAGCTAAATTTGAAAATTTTGTAACTACAGTAACTCAACCATTTTTTGCCGGAACTCGAAAATTTGAAAAGATTTGAAATCAGCCAGTTATTAGCTTTAAAACAAGCCTAAACACGACTAGAATTGATGGATTTTCATTTTTAGTCTCTGCGTGCGGTCGCGTAACGATCGGAGAGCAAAATTCAAATTTCCCTAAGTCAGGTCGTGTTTGAGCTTATTTTAAAGCTGAAAACGAGAAAATTATAGAAAATGGTATTTCAAGCTCTGAAAGTCAAAATTAAGCAAGATACAAGGCTTACTAGGTTTGGTGCCAATTTTTAATTTTGTCTATATCTAGTCAGATAGGCTTCATTTAAGGGATATTTTGGTTTTTGCGCTGTTTTCCATATTGAGCTAGTTAATAGCTTCAAAATGAGCCTAAACACGGCTAGAATTGATTGATTTCCAATTTTCAAGGGTCCATGCGCCTTTAAATTGGGTAAAAAATTGGAAATTTCAACTTTAAGCGAATCTACTCGTGTTTGGGCTCATTTTGAATCTAGTATCCCTCTAAATTCAAATTTTGCAGTTTCATCAATCGAGTGTGCCTCTCCGACATTGTAATTCGCGGTCAACTCTATCCCAAAGGGTCCGTGGTCATTGCCCAACCCAACACAATCCATCGCTCCGAATCCAATTGGGAACACCCGGGTATTTTCGATCCGGATCGATTTTTGGCTGAAAATTCAAAGCTGGAAAAATCATCAAATTTAAAATGGATTCCATTCGGTGTGGGACCCAGATATTGTGTTGGAATGCGTTTCGCTGAAATGGAATTCAAAATGACGATTGCAAAATTAATCGATAAATTTGAATTGGGAATTCCAATGGGAGAGCCGGATTTGATTCCTGAAAATAATGGAATCATATTGCGGCCCAAGGATCCAGTTAGGCTCAATTTGAAGCTAAGAAAATGAATTTCTTGGAATAAAACTGTCTACCAAAGCATTTCAAACTTTTTCAACTTTTCTGAAAATCGCAGAATATACTAAACAAAACTAGAGCTTCATTTTTGTAGTTGACAACTTTTTTCCGACNTCGGGATAGTTACTAATTTATTTTTTTAAAATAGGTTAGGATATAATTGTGTGAAAGATAAGGTCTGCATATAATGGTGAAAACAATGAAATTAGCGCAGTTTTGATAAATTCAATGATTGACGTTGAACAAAGCCAGATAAATCTTTGGAAAAGTTGTGAACGAATAGTTGGCTCATCACTATGTTGTTTACTGTGCAGTATAAAAATCTTGGAAGCTTTCCAATCAACAGGAATGATATGAAAAAAGCAAATTAAGCATTACATTTTGGTAGAACTTGAAGCATAGTTCTTGTTTCAAATGTATGACCAGTTATCCGCATTTTGGAACTTATAGTCAGAACCTTCTTCCCTCTTGTTTCCTGTAC